CTGTATGATTGGGAGGAAGGAGTCCAAAGGCCAAGGGGGCTCCCTAACTTCATTATCTGATTCTTCTTGCCAACAACTGCACGTTACAAACAGGGCTGGGACTTGGCTCCCCTGGCCACACTCCTAGGCCCGGGAGAGCTGAGGTATGTCTGGAAAAGAGGGGGACTTTGCCAAGGCAAGCATCTCCCGTGCCAGGCAGACCAGCAAATGAGCTTCTTCTTACAGTCCCTTCACCTGAATCCTTGACCAGCCAAGGCCCATTCACTTAATAAGAGAAAACTCAGAAGCTACTAAGTGCCAGGCTCAGTGCCAGGCTGAGGATACAGAGGTGAATGTGCATAAATATGTATTTCATCACATGTTCTAGAAAGTGTCCATTTGATGTCTTCCTGATTCTAAGAGTAATGTGTGTCAGTTAAAAAAAATTTAATTTCATTTAAATTGAATCACTCAGTCTCTAGGGAGAAGCCCTGATAGCATTTGATGGTATTGGAGATCTTTGTTAGCCAAGGAAAATTAGGCCAGGCAAAAGGCCAGTTATGTGAATCTTCTTAGAATAAGATCCAAAATTTCTAGTAAAAATTGTTTTATAAGATTTGATTGGAGCGGTGAGGCGGGGGGGGGGGGGGGCGCCTGGATGGCTCAGTCAGTTAAGCATCTGCCTTTGGCTTAGGTCATGATCCCAGAGCCCTGGGATGGAGCCCCACATAGTAGGGCTCCCTGCTCAGCAGGAAGTCTGCTTCTCCCCTTCCCTCTGCCTGCCACTCCCTCTCTTGTGCTCTCTCTCTGTGTCAAACAAATAAATTAACTCTTCAAAAATTTTTTTGATTGGGACTTTACTTAAACAATGAAACTAAAAATTATGGAAATAAGTTTACATTATTTTACATTTAACAGCTCTTGTAATGTTGGGATTATAATGTCAAAGATATCTTATACACAAGGCAAAAACTTATTTGCTTTATTAGCATCTTTAACAGTATGTAATTTCAGAGACAAAGGAAGGAATTGAGTGCTTGATGGACAGATTTTGGATGTGAATATTCCTAATATAAGGTGATATTCTTTGTTTCATATTTTGCCTTTTTTTTTAGGGTAATCACAAAAGGGTCATTTTTACAGCATATTTCTTCTAAGGGCTTCTCTTGATCTTTTTTATTTAAATCCTTATCTTTAAAAAATAAATAAATAAATAAATCCTTATCTTTAGAAGCATCTTAAAGTGTTATCATCCAGGGATATTTAACTGATCTTACCCGGCCAGGTCCAGATTTAACAGTGGCTTTTGGTGGCTTGAGCAGTTTTCCATCATCACTTTCATTGATTTCATGAAAGCCTACTTCTTTTGCAGCAATATCTTAGCTTCCCTCTGCAGTAGATTTGTACTGTATTTGAATTGGGTAATCAGATGTCTACACTGGCAGGTGATCGGGGACAAAGTTTGTTCACTGGTCTGTATTCCTGGTCAGCTGAGAGCTGGTCATCATGTCTATCATGTCTTGCAACAATGATAAAGTTGCTCTAACCTAAAGCCAGAGTAAAGGCAGAGCCAAAGAGACACCTGGTGGCTGGAACCTCTCTCACTGTGGGTACCAAGTAGCTGGCATAAGTAATAAGCAGCCCTCAGTAGATCACTATTTTGAAGCTTCACTGGGTCTCTCTCTGCCTACAGGGTGCCTGCCTGACTGCCAGGGGTGTGAATGGCTCCATAATGAGACTGTTTTTTCAGTTATGCCCTGGGCATGATTTGAAACCAGAACAAAGAGGATGATACTTCTGCTTTGGGGTCAATTGCTCCCCTGATGGACTCCTATCCAGATTTTACAAACTACTGTTCGATAGGAATCTAAAACAGATTTATTAGCATGTGCATGTTCCCCATCCATTGTCTTTCTTCACCTGGGAGCAAATGCCTGTACTTTCCAGCGGCTCTCAGTACAGGGAGCCTCAGCTCTAAAGAGCTGTTGTGGGGGTTCCTGGGTGTCTCAGTCATTTAAGCATCAGATTTCAGCTCAGGTCATGATCCCAGGGGCCCAGGATATATCCTCACATCTGGCTCCCTGCTCAGCAAGGAGTCTGCTTCTCCCTCCCCATCTCCCTCTGCCCCTGCCCCCTGCTTGTACTCTTTCTCACACTCTGTCTCAAATAAATAAATAAAATCTTTAAAAAAGAAAGAAAGAAAGAAAGAAAGAAAGAAAGAAAGAAAGAAAGAAAGAAAGAAAGAAAGAAAGAAAGAAAAAGCCATTGTGTGACGTCAGGTTCACCAGAAGCAGAACCTGAGATGGAGATTTCTGTGCAAGCAGTTTATTAGGGAAAGAAGAGGAGCGAAGGGAGCAGAAGGGGACAGAGGAAGGAACCAAAGAGATGTGCTTCAGCTGGAAGCTGCTTTAGCCTCATCCCATGGGAACTCTGGAACCTAAGCCATACACCAGAGCCAGTCTCACCTGGAGCCAGAAGGATGTCAATCCTAGCCTGCAGAATGCTGGTAGGAGAGGGCATTATAAGCTTCCAGGCAAAAGGGTTCATTCAGCTGGGAGCTATGGAACCTGTGTAGTATAGGGGTTCTAGGACAAGCACCCACACCATCCACACAGGGAGCCATAGTGTTTGCTACCTCACAGCTGCAGTAGGAGAGCAGAGTATAGAAATAAATAACCCCAGGAGGTCTCTATTGGTGCTGACAGGCAGCAGAAGGGTGATGCATGACATCCCTTCCTGTAGTACCACCAGGAGCGCATGAGTCATGAATTGTCTGCCGAGCGCTCTCAATCCTAGAGAGGTCTGTGGTTTTTGCACTCTCTGCCTGGCCCCACCAAGGATCCAATTTTGTAATCTCTAGTAGACTGAGTACTGAGTAGGGTGGAAGAGAGACTTGGAATAATGAAATAAATGCTGGCTTAAGTGTTATTTTCTGCCATCTTGAAATTAACAAAAAGAAGTAAATCCAGCAGCTTTTGAATAACCAAAAGCAGTCTTAAGCCAAAGCCAAGTAAACTGAGGTCCTCTCAAGTTCCAGAGCCAATTTTTGAAGTCACAGTCATTCCTTCACACCCGTGCAAAAACTAAAAAAGTCTTCAGAAGGCAGTGAATCTTTACTTCAAGAACAAGTAGACCTTAAACTTGAATCAAAAACCTGTCTCCTAGTTTGAAAGGGACTCCCCATGAGGTATGGATCTTCGCAAAGGGAGTTTAGAACTGGGTTGAGGAGCATCTGGATGGCTCAGTGGTTAAACATCTGCCTTTAGCTTAGGTTGTGGTCCAGGGATTGAGCCCCACATTGGGGCTCCCCACAGGGAGCCTGCTTCTCCCTCTGCCTACGTCTTTGCCTTTCTCTCTGTGTCTATGATGGATAAATAATAATAATTAAATATTTTTAAAGAAGAATTGAGTGGAGGAATCAGGTAATTTACACATATACTGGGATGTTCTTGAGAGTCATTATACCCCATGACAGATGTGAACAGGAAATGTGCCAGGGAAACTGAGAGCCAACATCACTTAGGCTTGAGTTCACTGCCTCTGCTCCCTACAGGATGATTAGCAAGGATTTAGAGGAGCTTCTCCTTGGGCCAGCTTTAGACTGCTTCTGCAGGGAGGACTATGAGGAAAGAGATGGTAACAAAGCCACCCCGGTGACTCATTAGAGCCAGTCTTTGGGACATGCAAGTCGTCAGACAGCATTTAAGAAATTATCTTCTGGTTTCCTTCTTGAAATTGCCAATTCCTATCCTTCAGGTTCTAAGAGCATCCCCTCACACTTCTGTGTAGATGTCTGTCTATCTGCTGGGAGGTCTCTTCTTCCTAAGCTGTGAGGTCTTCAAGGACAGGGACTACCATCTTTCAGACCTGTGCCCTGCATGCTAGTCGTGGTAGGTGATACTCTGACTCAGCTGACCCAGGAGAGGCTCAGGGTCCATTCTGAATCCTAGGCAACTTCCATCCTACGTGTGTGAACTTAGCACCCATGACTATATGAAGCCAAGATGCATGAAGTAAGCCTTGGAAGGAGGACTGAGGAAAAGTGTTCCTGATCGTAGGAACAACTTAAAAAGAAGTATAGAAATAAAGCCAGATAAAGGGTGTTCATAGAATAAAAACAGAGTAGAAATAGAAGAGAATTCATATTCTCTTTCCCTCTAGAAAATCAGCATGGAATGGGGAGGGAGACAGGCTTTAGAGTCCACCAAGAATGACCTTGGGGAGGGTACATGATTTCATTGAACTTTGATGTAATGGCTTCTAGACACTCAGCAAGTACGAGTTCTGTGCCTTCTCCTTCTCCAGAATCTGCAACACACTGTCTCCCCTTGGAGGTCTTGAATTGATTTCAATAACTTGGAACCTGTGGATTATGAAGAGCCTCCTGGCTTTGCTTTGACCTTGGTTGTAGACCATGTTTCCAGGTAGAAAGACAACAGCTCCTCATGACCCCAGTCTTGGTTTTCTCATGCCACTTTGTGTAGAGTCCAGCCCTAGCGAGCTACACTAGGAGACCTCTCCTTGCCATTGTATCTGGGAAGGCTTGCAGGGGACCAGTCAGCCCTTACCACCCCAGGCTGCAGAAAGAACTCATATATTTTCCTTGGTGTGATTTTCTTAGAGTGTATCATTCCCAAACCAGCAAGATATTGAAAGGCAAGATTAGAGTATGGGTTTAGGAGAAAATGTCCAGGAAGATGACTTGGTTATCTTTCATCCAAACCTTTGGAGACATCCAGCTCACATGCAGCTTGGCCTACTTCAGAGCCAAAATATTAATTAAGAATGTTCTGGCACCTGCCTTCCCAGGGAGCCCATGAGAAGGGTGGGGTGTCAGAGGAGGACTGCGGACTCCAGCCTGGTCACAGGCTCCCCTCCCCCCAAGCCAGCAGTGATTCCATTTGGGAACTTCCCTGAAGAAGAACCGTGTCTGCTGAAGTCTCAGTTTGCCTCTCTGAGACCATTTACACACATTTGTCTCCACACAGCCAGCCTATCCCTTGGTGCCTTTTCTCTTTCAGGAGGAAATGGGCATTTCCTGTGAGCTGCTGGAATCAGACTTCCTCAAATGCAGTGTGGGATTTCCTTTCATGAGGTCAAAATCGAAGGTAAGGGGCAGAGACGGGGCACTTCCTTCACAGCTGCCCCCAGCCCTTCCCACCAGCCACCTGCCCTGTCAGCTATACCCTCCCCCCAGACTTCTTCTACCCACCCCTGCCGCCACCCCCCCCCACCTCGCACCTTGTACAGTGGCATGGCTCACCTCCTGTGGGGGGGGGGGTGCGGGGGCGGAAGCCTGTGATCTACTCCAAGTGCACTCCACAGGGGCACTCCCCACATGCTGTTCCTCTTTGATCCACTTGACATACCCCAAATATGAGAGAACACACCATGGCCTTGGTACTTTGGCAAGCACCATCTGGTTGGCCTCCTTAAAAATCTTCCTCTGGGACATTCCATGCCACTGTGAGTGCGACAACATAGGAGAAATGTGGTCTGGGCTACTGACCTACAGTTCTGACTGCCACTCCCCCTGGGCACTCACAGTTTTCTCAAGAGACCTCTTAAAATTCATAAAACATAAATAATGGTATTGCACTTCATTTCTGTTTAAGTAAAAGAAATTAGACTCACTTTGGTATTTATAAGGAGCCAAATTTTCTAAGCTCAAACAATAATATGGTCCAGCATATTCAAACATTCATGGAACATTCTGGTATGTGCCAGTATTATAAGGATATGCAAAGATACATAGAAGATGTGATTGTTGGAAGCAAAACTAGAATCTAAAAGATCAGGTCTGCCTTTGAAAATGGAAGCTATTTTTCCTGCTATGATTTGAAGGAAATTTCATATTCCTTTGTCTAACCTTTCCCCCCACACCAAAAAAATGAAAGTTTAATCCTCCTCTCCTAAGTCACAGAATCAGCTTGTTTTCATCTTCAAGACATTTTGGTCCTAGTGCCTCACAGCTGTTTTGCAAACCAATTCTGAGAATGTTGAAGTGAGAAAGAAGATTCGCTTATTTCCTAGACAGTCACTTGAACCTCTTAGCCCCACGGAATGTGCCTGCTCCGAAGGATGGTGCTCTTACATCCGTGATTCCTAACTCTTTCAGGAAGGCCCTGAACCCTGGGTGCTATTGCCTGTAGAAACACACACCGCCACACACACACACACATTTCATTAAAATCTTTCCAGCAACAGAAAATCGACTTCATTGAAAAACGTTAACAGTTGTCATTTCATAGTAAAATCCAGCCTACATCCCAAATCAAATCCAAGGTGTGTCTTGCTCGTTTTAAAGATTTTTTAAAAAGAAAATTGTATCCCTTTCACATTCGGATTCAGGATCACTTACCATAAAGAGAGGGTAGTCATAAAAATGGATACAACAAAAACAAAGCCACGTTGAATTCTGGAGCATTAAATTTTGTCAAAATTCATTAACTCTCAAAGAGTCATGGAACTATCTGAGTTGGAAAGTTGGATTTTTTTCCCAGCTCGGTGATACTACTACCTTCCTCCCACATATAAAGGTTTAGCCTAGAGCAACGCTAACCCAGGAGGGAGGGGGTCTAGGGCTTAGTCCCTGGAGAATGCCCAAGAAGTGACCCAGCAGGGCCAGGGACTGCCCCTGTCCACACCTGGTCTGCCCTCCCCTGTGCCAAAGCCCCTGTGACTCATCAGGCTGCAGGCTACCTGCTGAGCCTCTGGACGGTCCCATCAGCTTACTTTGGTGGCCTTCTGTTTCTGTCTCACGACCGGCCTGCCAGATTCCTGGCTTTCCATTCTCCCAGGCCTCCCTCTCTGATTTCAGCTTCTACTTCACCTGGGGCTTTAGAGTATTTAATTCAGATCTCCTCCAAATTCTGACTCTGTGCTGGGACAAGACCCTTGACTTTCCCTTCCCTTGTGTCCTCCAGCTCTGCTTCCCATCCTGTCACCACATCCCACCTTCCCTGGCAACTGACAAGCCCCACTGTAATAGAAATTTCAGTCTAGAGAGGGGTGTCCAGTGTCCACTGTGTTTGATGGTCAGCATTCATTACTTTCAGGTGGCATTCAGTGCAGTTGAACCCAGCATCACAAAGTTAGACCAGGGGCTGCCACTAGACACTAAGGAAGCCAAGTATTTAGATAAAAAAACAGTTATAGACCCTCAGAACTTGATGGAACTTAAGAATCATTTTGTCCATCCTCTTCTTTTTCATTGAAATGTGAAGAGAGTGTCTTGGCCAAGATCACATACTCAGTTTGTAGTAGTTTGGTTCTGTAACTCCTACCCCGGGGTCCCTCCCACATTCTCACACATGCCTAACATGTATATGGTGAAAACCATTGGCTCAGGGCTGTCTTTCCCAAGTCATAGGATGCTCACCATGGGGAGCACCTGAAGTGATTGTAGGAAGTTCCTGAGATTATTTTAGGCAAAACATGGACACGGCACTATACAGCATTGACTCTGACAGCAACACAGTTATTACCTGTTCAATACTCTTTCTCCCTGATCACATCAGAAGAAAGTCTCCCATAGTGCCAGCCTGTCTTTAACACCCCCCTAGCACTTGTTAGTCTCTCTCTTACCAAATAGAGTGGACCTTAAGCCCAGAGCCTTCAGCAGGCAACAGAATGCAACAATGCTTGGTTTCCATTTATTTTTATGAGCACCTTCTCTTACTGATAAGTGATCCCGATTCCCACCTATGATCATGTTAGAAATTTTCCTTCTAAAGTAGTACAGCCGCTCTGGAAAACAGTATGGTGCTTCCTCAAAAAGTTAAAAATAGAGCTACCCTACCACCCAGCAATTGCACTACTGGGTATTTACCCCAAAGGATACAAATCATAGTAATCGGTAATCAGGATACAGTACACCTGTATCCCAGTGTTGATAGCAGCAATGTCCACAACAGCCAAACTATGGAAAGAGCACAGATGTCCATCGACAGATGAATGGATAAAGGAGGAGATATGGGGGATATATATGTATATACACACATATATACATATACATACACAATGGAATATTACTCAGCCATCAAAAAAATGAAATATTACCATTTGCAATGATGTGGATGAAACTGATGTATATTATGTTAAGTGAGATAAGTCAATCAGAGAAAGATTTATCATATGATTTCACTCATATGTGGAATTTAAGAAATGAAATAGAATCATAGGTGAGATCAGACAGGGAGACAAACCATAAGAGACTCTTAACTCTAAGAAACAAACTGGGGGTTGCTGGAGGGGAGCTGGGTGGGGAGATGGGGTAACTGGGTGATGGGCATTGAGGAGTGTACGTGATGTAATGAGCCCTGGGTGTTACATGCAACTGATGAGTCACTGAACCCTACCTCTGAAATGAATAATACACTATATATTAATTAATTGAATTTAAATAAAAGTAAAGTCTTTAAACAAAAAAAGTGGCAATGAAAGTGCACAGTAAATGACACAGGTGATGTGGCACCAGCTGTGACAAACATTAGGAAGATGGTGTGTGAGTGATACTTAGAAAGGTCTGGTTTAAGAGACAAGCATATTAACTTCCTAGAGAACCTCAGTTGCTGAACAACAGTATGCCTCTCACCAGAACACACTTCAGGCTTGGTTTTATTGCTCAAGCTGTCTCTCTGTCCTGGCAACCAGAAAGAAATGCATAAAAAATAAAGCTTGTCATGCAAATGAGCTTCCAGAGGTCGTAAACTGCAGAAGACTGTAGTGTTTAAGTTTGGAATGCTTGCTGATGCCAGATGTCATTTTCTTTTCCCCTAGTATGAATTCAGCGTGATCTTTGACACAAGCCACCTGTCTGGGGAAGAGGAAGTTCTTAGCTTCATCATTACTGCTCAGAGGTAAGGAGGGGATTTAATTTTTTTTTCAAAGATAAAAGATTTATGGGAACAGGAAAGGACATTCCCTGGTCATGCTTTGATGATGCTCAGGATGCTGAGGAGGAAGAAACAGTTCAGTGATAAAGCCCCTGACCGCTGGCTGGAACCAGATCTCTCAGGGATGGTGCCTGTCTGGTTCTGCCTGTGCAGCTACCAGGTCAGACTGAACTGGGAGGGACTGGGGATCATCCAGTCAGAGGTAATGATTTTTACAGCCAAGGAGAAACAGACAGGGGGGAGGTGAGGATTCCGATCCAAGCCCACGTGGTTATTAGTTCACAGACTTCCCTGTGGGTTGCATTCCTTGATGCAGGGAGAGGGTACAGCAGTCTGAAGGCCTGGGCAAGCCTGTTGTCATCTGCCTCCACAAGCCAGAACCCATGTGCACCCTGAAGCGCCATTTGGGTAGCGCTTGACTGACAGAGGATGGAAAGAGAGGTATTTAGATGGGTGATTAGGAAAAAACAAGCTTTGAATGGGGTATAGGCTGGATACCCAGGGCTACCTTTGTAATTCGAATTTTTATTTGGAAGCGATTTTAAACTTGCCAGAGATGTTGCAAAGCATAATTCAAGGAACTCCCATGTAGCCTTTACCCAGCTTTACCCAACGCTGACGCTTTGCTCTGTTGACTTTATCATTCTCTACGTATAGTTTTTTTTTTCTCAACCATCTGAAAATAAGTCGCAGAAATCATGCCTCCCTCCCATAAGTACTTCAGTCTGCCTTCCCTAAAAATGAGACCATCTTCTTAAATAACCAGTATAGTTAGCAAATGCAGGGAATTTTAACACCAAGACAATACTATTATTTCATCTGCCACCCATGTTCCAATTGTGTCAGTCATCCCAATGACTTTGCAGCCACTCTTTCACTGGTCCAGAGTCCAGTCAAGGATCATCTATTGTGTTCAGTTATCTTGTCTTATCTAGAGTTGCCTTAACCTCCACACAAAATTTCATGCCAAAGATCCTAAGTCCATCCCAGAGGTGGTCTAGAGATCTGAACTAAACACCCTGAAGGCCAAGATCAGGCAAGATCCACTGAAAATGATGAGAAAACAAAACGAGGAACTAATAGAGCTAATAGAGGCCAGGAAGACGGAAGGCCAGACACCAGGTGAGCAGGCAGTGGGAACCAGGACTGCAAGTCAACCAGGGAAAGATGGTCTGAGGAGTCACAAGGTTAGCACAGGGTTCAGACATACAGACCTGTGGGATCTGGGGTGCAGAGTAAGGCCACTGGCTCAGCTTTATGAATCTAAAGCCCCCACTCCTCCCTAAAACCCCACCATCACCACCACCTGCATGGTCACCTTTGAAATGAGTGTGCTCCACAAACCTTCCTTTGAAGAGGAGGACGCCCTCAGGACCTGAGAAGGAGCTCCTCATCCCCTGTTCCCATTTATAAAGAATGCCATTTCCCAGACTCTTGTGATGAGCCCCACTAGGGCCAGCTCCCTGGGGTGATGTGCTGTACAGGATAACAGGGGCACCAGCTAGGCTATGTCTCTGGCCCCCAGATAGAGCAAGGAGTCATGCTTTGGACCACTCTGCCCACTGCCATGCACAATCATCAAGTGGTTGCCATGGGGAAAGGACCAAGCTGGGGCAGACAGGGGGATCCTGGATGAGTGAGAGCGAGTCTTGCATCCCAGAGCATCTCAAGAAGAAGGCTTCAGGCTAGAGATGGAGGTAGACACATAGCTTCCTGCAGGGGAGGGGAGAGGAAACACCACAGGGCAGGCACACTTCGCTCATCATTCAGTCTGCAAATATTTGACCCCTTCCCATAAGCCAGGCGACACGGGCAAAGTCCTACCCTGGGGAAGCTAGTGTGCTGGTGGCAGGGGGATAGATAATGAGCAAATGAACGATACAGTGTCAGCGGGAGCCAGGAGTGTAACGATTCATCCAGCAAGTGCAGACACTGGTAATCGTAAAGCATCTTCCTTGTGTCCTGTACTCTCTCTCCTTAAGCCCATGGGGTGAGGTTAGTTCTTTCCCTGTCTTGAGACAGGGCGGTTGTCTAGGACAATCTGTGCGTTCTCAGGTCTCTCTTGGGTAACGCAGAGTCACTTCAAGTCTCATGGCAAATTCACAAACTGGTAATTAAGGTGTCCCCCGAAATAATCAAAGCTGGATTTAAAGTGAAGCCTTTCTCCCCTCAGTGAGGGTGAGCTGCAGAAGGGAAGCCTGCCTCTCTCTCAAGAACAATCTTGCTTTCCTCCAGTGGTGCTGCTACTGCCCGCCCTCCTTCCCCTTAGAGGAGTTCCCGAGCCCCCCACGCTCACAGCAGAGCCTGTAGAAGGTGCGAGTGAAATAGAAATGTGCTAGCACTTTCGTAGGTACTGGTGTGAGCACTCCTCAGGCCGTGGGGATCAGCTGACTATTGCCTTCAGACAGACAGCCCCAGCTAGGGGTTCTGGCCTCTCAGTCCCTCATCGTATCCTCCAACCTTAGCCTCATGGCAGCCAGGGATCCTTTCAGCTTCTGCTGCTGAGACTGTGCCCTCAGGGACAGGACCAAAGGGGATCAGGACCAAGGGGATCTTGCACTGGTCCCACTCAATAGCCTCTGCCCTGAAGGTCTCTGGACATGCAAGGGATTCTCGCATGTCCCCTTCTCTTTCCCTGGGCCAGGAGAGGGAAAGCCAGCAGCCTTGCCCTATATTCATTCCCTGGGCATGCAGCCAACCCCAGTTTATGATCAAGGGTACCCCGAAGCATGCCTGAAAGGACTTACACCCTCCCCCCACCACAAACACTTCTCTAAAAGCTGTTTCTCCAGAAATCTTTTGGACTCTGTTCCATCCTTGATGTGACATCTCGGACTTTTGTCCCCCAACCATAATACATCTTGGTGTGGTGCATTCCTCTAGATCTGGCATCTCTTACATCTCTGCCAAAATGTGCATCTGAAGGAACATACTGTCATAGTCACCCCCTGAGTGATTCTCGAATTTTCACAGAAACACCAGTTCCCCTAGAGTCTTGGACTATGATTTTTCCCAAGCTCTCCATCTTTCAATTCTCTGCAGTCCGTTCTGGCCCCTTCATAATGGATTTGCTCTCAGGTACCCCCTCTAGCCACTGGGCATCTAGGGCAGTCCCCAACAAGTGCAACATGACAGCAGCAGCAGCCACATCTGTGGGATGCAGACATAAAAAAGCTCTGATCTCATCTCCCACTGCTCTTTAATTTTGTTTTCATTTGAGGCTTTCCTCCATCTCAACATTATTTAAAGCTCATGGAATGAAGATTCACTTTCCCTGGGGAATGGCTGTGATGCTGGAAGCATACATTTTCAGAGCCCCTCAATTCTACAGCCATGATTGCATATTTTGGCTTCGATGCTGCTTTCTGTATTTTTTTTTTTTTAGCATTGTCACTAACGTTTTGGAGACTGTTCCGTCTCCTAAAAATAAGAGCACAGCACATCCCAGTGTGTGTTTGGCCTTCTTTACCTTGTGTTATTGTGTCCAACTTCCTACCCCAGAGGTGATGACTTTCTGGCCTTTAGTTCAGCATGATTGGACTTACTGAACACACACTAAAGCATATGTAAAAAGTTGGTGTATATGACAACAGTATGATGGCTAAAATACAACCTAGCAAGCCCAGAAATCCTACACAACCTTCTCGCATGACAAGGGTGACCTACCATGGGGCACTAGCAAGCATTTCAGCACAGATTACATTTTGTTGGGCTTGCAAGCTTTGAAATTGTGTGAGACTTGGTTGTTTCTTATTCATACAATTTCGGGATCACATAATTCACATTCACATAAAACACAACTGTGATCTAATAGAAGTACATACAAAGCAAAGAGAAAGTGGACTTTGTTCCCAGAATCCAGAAGGGCTTCACTGGGGAGATGGCATTTAAACAGAGGAGTCTGTTTGCAGGCTGAAGACACAGAGGAGTAGTGCTGAGGATGTACACAGGACAGCCTGTTCTGTGACACCCACCTGGGTGGTGGGCATTGTGGGTAATTGGGTATTGGTGAGCCATCTCTGACAGGGAACATACAGAGCAGTGGAAGATAGGCTGACAGAGGAGAATGGTCTGGGCAGCCTCAGACAGTCTACACTACATTCAAAGGCAAAAAGTTACTGAAGAGCGAAGTGATGCATGCAACAGTTCACCCACAGAGCACGAGACTGTTGAATTTAATACAGGGAGGCAAAAGGCCAATCAAACCTGGGAATTGTCATTCTCCTGCTGCTTCTTGGATCCACAGAAAACTCACTGTGATTGGGCGGATCCATTAGTATACTCTCTCCGTCCTCTTCACCTGGGGCCGCCCATATCCTGAGAAGGAACATTTGGGCAGGAAATAAATGACATGGAAGGGACTTCTTTGTCAAAAAGAGGAAACTCCACCTGCCTCCCAACCCCACCCAGGGCTGATCAGTGGTGTCAGAGAAGGGGGAGCCAATAATACCACAGTGGAACCTCTATCAGTTAGAATCATGTGTCCATAGGCATCGTAGGTGTCCAGTGGGCACTGCTGGAGTCACCTAGAAGGCTTTAAAAAACCACCAATCCCTAGGGATCCCTGGGTGGCGCAGCGGTTTGGCGCCTGCCTTTGGCCCAGAGCGCGATCCTGGAGACCCGGGATCGAATCCCACGTCGGGCTTCCGGTGCATGGAGCCTGCTTCTCCCTCTGCCTGTGTCTCTGCCTCTCTCTCTCTCTCTCTCTCTCTCTCTCTCTGTGACTATCATAAATAAATAAAAATTAAAAAAAAAATATTAAAAAAAAAAAAAAAACCACCAATCCCTGGTCCATCCTGCAAAGGTTTGAATCTATTGGCTTGGGGGAGATCTAGGCATTGAGATTTTGAAATAGTCTCATCAGCCAAGGTGAGAACGACTGTCTGCAGTCCCTGGCTCTAAACTGGGCACATTTCTATTCAGCAAACATCTATTAAGTACGCACTATTTATCAGATGCAATGCCGGGCACATAAGAAAATGCTAACAACTTACTAAAATCAAGAACATCCACTTAGTGCACTAATATTGCCATGTCGCATCAAGGGACACCAAGTACTGGCAGCTTAAATAATGGCAGCTTAAATAATTAAATAGCAGAATCTTCTAACATTGGAATCATGGATGTTAAGGAAGCCATTTTCTATGTTAAACACCCAACAGCATATCACAGGAATTCATTTCTTTCCAGATGTTGGTGAAAACCGGTCTTACGGCCCCAGAGGGCGGCCCCCAGCACTTGACTCCTTGCTCAGACAGAAAGATCCTTAAAGCTCCTTATCTTGAAAGCCACAGCTAAAATATCAATCATTCCGTCCTCCCCTTCACCACCCTTTGAAGCTCTCCTGCCTACTTGTGGATTTAGGAGGACATAAAGTTGAGCCTAAACAGTCCTCCAGAGCTCTCTCAGCAGCCTGGCTTTGCAGACCATGGGAAAGCATCCCAAGTCACGAGCTTGCAGAGTCGCTGGGAGCCTTTTGATATTTGGCCTCAGTATCTCAATGTTTCAGCTTCAGCCGGTCTGGAGCAGTACCCCGATGACAGATGAGACGGTTGGGCCTGAGCTGCCAGCAGCCACAGGTGGCTGGACAAATGGCAGGGCAAGGGGTGGTGCTTCCATCAGGAACCGATTACTCAGACCTGGCAGGATGCTGGGTGTGGGGAGGGAGCAGGCCAGGGCATCATCCGTCCCATCCACTCTGTAGTTGCCTCAGGGCTCCCTCTAGCAGCGATTCTAAGGCTTTTATTGCCCCCCTGAGAAAGGAAAGGCAAGGGAATTAGGCCTGGTGGGCACCTGACCCTGCTGTTTCTGCAGACTGGCTGACCTCTGAGTGATGGATGTCACACCATATGCGGAAGACAGATGAGAGGAGTCAGGGGTCAGAGTCACAGAGCACCATTGTTTCAGAACAATGGGAGAAAGAAGGAGAGGGGATGTGGGCTGCCCTTTAAGTATTGTTGCATTTAGCACTTGCTGGGGGGACAGGAAGGCAGTGGGGGGCAGACAGGAACTCTGCATGCATTCAGGGAATGGAGCGGGGAGCCATCCAGTGAGCTGTACCCAAACCTCAGTGGGTCTTGGGGCCACTACCTTCCACCCCTGGAGTGGCTTCCTACTGGGATCCCACATACATGCCATGTGTCAGAACCAACTGGAAGTGCTGGCTTTGGCAACTTGCACCCAACAGCCTGCCTTTTCCCAAGGCGGTGCTTCCAATGGAATAATAATCACAGTCATCTTGGAAATGTAACAAAATAGCAAAAAGAAGCCAGGTCTTCTCTCTCCTCATCTTCCTCCTCCCCTTCCTCCTCTTCTTCCTCTCCTCTCCCTTCCTCCACCACCCCTCCCCCCCATTCCCCACAACCTCTCAAATCTGGTATCAGATTTGGAGGGGTCACAATAGAAAAGCCCTAGTTGGGAAATCTGACTGACCTGGTTTGCTCTGGATCCCTGGGCAAGTTCCCTGATCTATCTGAGCTTCTCTTTACCTGTCAGAGGCAGGTAATCCTCCACCCCACTGGGGTTCCTCTGAGGACCCAATGAGATCATGCCATGCAGTATGCCTGGCGCAAAGCCACCACCCAATAACATCAGCTTCCTTGCATTCCCCTTTCCAGAAGGACCACAACAATCCCCATTCTCCATTTTCTCATTCCAAAGGGGATGCCTGTCTGTGGACATACTGCAGCCAGAAATTTATAGGGGAGCTCCCATGGTCTTTATCATGACAGGATTGGCTAGGGCCTCTTTCTCAGGCTTGGCTGGCCATGGATACAGGTGATGCCTCCAGGTGGGAAGTAACTACTTGAGTCCAGCAAACAAGCCCTTTCCCAGCTGCAATGCCCTAACCTTGTGGATCCATTATTCATGGAACAAGCACTTACAGAAGTAGCACGTGCTGTTGGTACCTCCATAACCATTCAGCACCCACCTTTCCCTTGCACCTCCCGGACAGCTTCTGGCTCCCAGCACCTGCCACTCTGTCCAGGCTTTCCCTGGCCAGAGGCCACTCACTTGGGTGCAGAGGGCAGGTACCAGGAAATTCGTGCTCCCTGCCCCCCAGCAGCAGGTCTCAGGAGTTAATGGATAAAGTCCCGACTCCACTGGGAAGACCAAGATTTGTACTACATGCTGCATCCCAGATGTCCCCAGTGAGCCCAAACCCAGTTGCCCAGAGTGCTGACCTCCTAGATTGTGTGCCTTTTTTGGCTTCATTGCCTCCCTTATCTCTTCTCCACTTCCTGCTGGTGTCTCCTGGGGTTGCCTCCCCAGCACACTGCTGGGACTCACATCTTTGGGAGGGGATCACAGCTGAGACAGCACAGTGCCCACTGTGACTCTGTACAGGAACCACAAACAGAACCAAGGGGACATCGAGTGCACAGCCAACCATTGGAGAGTGACAGATTGAGACCTCACATAGAACGATGAAGCCTGCTGCCCGGTAGCTAGCACTGACCAGCACTCACCCCTCTCTTCCCATGCAGTGGCAACGTGGAACGCTCCGAGTCCCTGCACGACAACACCCTCATGCTGACAGTGCCGCTGATGCACGAAGTGGACACATCCATCACTGGGTGAGTAGCCGGTGCTGGGTCCCCAAAACACAAAGGTGCCCCAGGCTGGAACGCCATGCTTTTATTTGCAGGTGTAGCCAGGAGTCTTTGGTCCTGCCAGTTCCCCTTCATGCCGGCTTCAAAATGCAGGGCAAAGCTGTAGTTACCGTCTCATGCCCTCCTGGCTTCCTGTTTTCTCCTCTTTCCCAGCCACCTACCCACCTGCTGGGTGATGCAAGAAGTTCCATGACAAGGCTAAGCCTCAGAATTTCTTTGAGCATTCTATATACCTTTATGTGCCTATATACCCAGCACTCACCCCTCCCTTCCAGAAGGCCATGATTCCTGGGATTCAGATCTCAGCCAAATGCTGCAGGGCCAGAGGTTACAGCCAGATGTGTCCCAACGCCCAGGTGGCATTGCAGAAAGGCTCGCCTTGCTGATTAGCTACACAGTCAGCGCTGGCTTTCGTGTTGTTTCTGTTAACCCCCTCTGCAGAGCCAGCAGCGGCTCTACCTGATGTCTGTGGTGGGCAGGGACCCATTAGGACGGGTGCACCATGTGCCTGGGTAAAGTCCACGGCCACTCAGTGCCACTGGCATCAGAAGGCAGGACTGCGGCTGCTGGACCCCGAAGCAGCCTGGGCGGCTTTCAGCCAAAGCCCAGGCTTGGAAAAATGAGAACTCAGTTCCTGTTTCTGGCTTCAGAAAACAGAGCACATACCTCTTTGATAGTGGAAAAAGGATTTGCACAATTAGCTTAGATCAAATGAGGACCCATTGAACCCATGCCCCAAAAGCAAGCTGAACTTTCTGGAGGTTCAGAGTTTCTCATTTTTTCACTCTTCAAGTACTTCTGGGTCCCAGCCTTGGCTAGAAGCAGAAATGTTAATACTTTGCAGGAGGAGCCATTCTGCAATAGCTCACATGCTGCTGGGTGCTGCAGTGAGCCTCTAGGTGTTTTTGCTCACATTCTTCAGACAGGAGGCATCAGTGGAATATATTTGCAAATTAGCATAGATTTGCCTCTGTTCATGGCTCTATTTTTAACCGTGTGGTTTATTTACTTGTCTCATCGGAGAAATAGTGAGAATATGGCCGGAACCAATCCCTGTCCTTAGTGGGGGAAGACAAAACACTTGATCCTGTTGTCAGGCCCTAGGAGGCCTCATTGTTGAGGTGTTAACAGCCCCCAGTGAAGCCATCAGTTAAACGCATGAGTCAACCTCTGATCTTTCCAGGAACATAAAACAGGGCTAGTTTAAAGGAACTAGTTCTTGCCATTTGATAACACCAGGAACTCATGACATTTCTAAAATAATACATTTAAGTTGAAAGTAGATGAATTATTGACCATTCAGACTTCGTACCAAAAATTTTATATGACTGTGTCTGGGCAAGTAAGCAGCCTTCTAGAATCTCATCTAGAATCCATTATTTGTCTGGGAATTTAAGTGAGTCTGGGCCTGGTCTCATCTCAGGCTTGTTCATATGGACAACATTGAAAGCATCACTACAAACGGAGCTTGAATTCTTAACTACATCTTAAGTAGCCACTGTTTGAAATCTGAAGAAAAATGCTATCATTGAACAGACCCAAACTTTAATACCTAATTTCTAGTGGTTTTGGTAGTCTGACAAGTTTAAAATTTTTTTAATAAAGTTGCCACAGAATGAGCTTCAGGATGCTAAATATATAATTCACTTATATTTATTTCTTAAAAACTTGCCATAATCTTCCTCAATCCACAAAATGTTTCTCAAATGATAAAACAGAACATACATAATTTTGTAATCCAGTTTAAAGGAAAACAACGAAATCAAAGCTACCATTGTCTTCCTCCTTATTTCAGACATGTAATCCCAGGACATATTTATATGTAGCTTATTGATTTGACCCTAAGATGGGAAGACATTCCAGGAAACTTCTGTTTAGGAAACATGGGTCTGGCTGTGTCCACTTATGGGACAAAGAAGTAACAATTCCAGAACAGAAGGGTTTGGTGAAGACACTGGAGGGGCAAGGTTCTGGATTAGAGACAGATGTTTGGGTTTTCAGGACAGCCGTGACCATGGGTTGCTTGACCGAGGTTTAGGATGATGGATGAAACGCTTTCCTCTTTCAGAATCATGTCTCCAACCTCCTTTGTGTATGGCGAGTCTGTGGAGGCATCCAACTTCATTCAGCTGGAGGACCTGGAATGTCATTTCCAGCCGCTCAACATTACCCTTCAGGTACTGACCCCTGAAGATGCTCTCTGTCACTGGGGGCCAACAGAAGGGCCCACAGGGATGGGTCTTCTACTACAGGCAGCCGAAGAGCCAGGTTCTTCCTGGGAGAAACTTGTCCCAGCCTGATTGGCTGGAGTGTAGTACATGTGCTTGTATATGTTTTCTGTAACCACACAGAATTAATCCCTTCCCTGTCTGGTACTCTGCTGTGTAGACCCCTCTGCTTTTCAGTACTTTGAAGGAGAACTGCATGATAAACATCCCAAGAAGGCCTCTGGCCAGCATCCCAACCCAAATGGCCCCAAAGGCGCCTTTCAGTTCTCCATCATTATTCACATTATGAGCAGGGCAGCCTCATGCATTTGCCACATCCCCTTCTTCCTGGGGTTCTCTGTGCTGACTCCGCCTGGAGCCCACTCCTCCCACAGCGGAACAGCCATTCAGAAGTGCAGGCTTACAGTAGCAAAGCAGCGTGAGAAGCATGCTGCTCCCTCACAGAGCCATGGGTGGCTCTCCCCAGTCACATAAGCATCATTTTCAGCAGGTCCGCTCAGTGTGGACTGTGGACATCCGGAAAAACACTCCTCCTTCTCCAGGCCAGGGTGGGCAAACATTTTCTGTACAGGGCCAGCAGGTAAGTATTTTAGGCTTTGCAGGCTATACAGTGTCTGTAGCATCCATTCAACTATGCTACTGTAGTGCCAAAGCAGCCATAGGCAATACGTAAGCAAAATTGAAGTTATGGCACTGAATTTGGGATATTATATTCTCTTCACATGTCATGAAATATTACATATATATATATATATACACATACACACACACACATATATATTTTCCAAACTATTTAAAAATGTGAATCCATTCTTAGCTTGCAGACCATGCAAAAAACAGGTGGCAGGCCATAGTTTGCTGACCCCTGCTGTGAAGTATAAATTCTCAGGCCAGCACTGTTTGACACAAACATCTTTGCATGTTAAGCTAGAATAAGCTTAGCCTCATCCAGTCTGTTGTCCTCAGTTGACAAAAACCAGTGAGGCTCCTACTGGACAACCTATGGTCAAGCACCCTGCCAGGAGCTGTTGATGAAGTGAAGGAGATGGGCCTGGCTCATCCATGGTGGACTATAAACTACGTCCAGCATCTCTGCATTCCAGCTCTCAGAGCTGTCCCCCACCTCTTCCCCATATCTCCCCATGGAAAAGATGGTTTCCTGGTCTGGCATTGACTGCTGTGGCCAATAATTACTATTTTCTTTCCCCGTGGCCACTCCTAGGTGGACTGAGGGGATGAGAAATAATTATGGGGTGTGGGTCCAGAGAAGGAGGCAGCGAAATATTTGTGGGCTCTCAAACAATGGTCTCCCCCTCTCTGAAGTGTTCTCCCAGGCAGGAGGCCTCTGAAACCATGATGGAGAACACATGTCCCCAGCTTAGAGAGGAGGAGCCTCCTGGCCAGCTAAGCCCCTACTGTCACACCCTATGCTCAGTTTCCAGGGAAAAGGGGAAGGTGCGGTTAGACCTGCTTTTGAGATGTCACAGTGATTGCTGTGAGTAGGACGTCTGTATTTCTGAACTGCTACTCAGAAGTTTATTTTTCCCCATTGCTTTTTGCAATTAGAAAACAGATAAAGACCAGATGGAGTGATTGCATTTTACTGAAATCATTTTAATTTTAATTACTCACCCACTCTTAGAATTTTTGAGGTGTCTTATAACAAAAGATACAATCCAGAAAATGATTCAGAAGGGCTCAAATGATACATACCATGTAATGAAGAGGGTGTAGGTGTTAAAGGAAACGACAAGAAAGAGTTGGAGTTATGCCAGAGATCCAAAAATGTTCTTATCACCCTCCAGGAAGGAAGGAGGGAAGGAGGGAGAGAGGGAGGGAAAGAAAGAAAAGGAGGGAGGAAAAGACAGTCAGACAAAGAAAAGGAAGCAAGAGGGAGAGAGAAAGAAAAGGAAGGAGGGAAGGAAGGAAGGAAGGAAGGAAGGAAGGAAGGAAGGAAGGAAGGAAGGAAAAGAGAAAGAAATTGATCTTGAGGGTATGTGGTTAAGTCCTGTTTCTCAGAAGGCATTTTTACAGGGAGCTTAAAGTTTGGTATTCAGGCAAAGAGCTTTCTTCACATCTGACCTGACCTAGGGTACAGGCTAGAGAATGGGGCCGGGAATGAGTGATGGGCATGCCCCTAGATAAACCTCTTGATTATCAGTTTGCCTGAGGAAGTACACAGCATTCCATTCAGGATTAAGAGAGTCCGCTGGGTCCGAAAGATGGATAGTGTGTGTCATTGACTGGAAGGAGATCCTCTTGTGTCAGCAAAGCTGACAGTTTCCTTGGGAAAGCTCTGATGATTCATTTTCCGATAGAACTGTCATTATTATGACTGTCATGCAGGAAGACCCTGGACCAGGTTGATGGCCATAATAATTAAGACTAGAGCTAGTGGGGGAGGGTGGGATCAGGAATGTAGATCTATATGTCCTTGACTGAAGAAGAGCACAGGACTTTGCACATAGAGTGATTTTTCTGTCTTTTAAAGGCTATTATTCAACAAGCTATGCGATTGTTTAAAGACTTCACCACAGATGCAGATGGGAGAAAGGCAGAAATCCTAGTCTCGGGCCTTGTTTCTACATCCCACCAAAGTTTTCTGAACAGAAACACGATAATGTGTTGACCATTGATAGGTTTTTTTCTTTATTCATCAAGAGTCAATCATTTTTCTCACCTGAAAAATAACCATGAAAACTAACGCAGCTTCTGCACAAGAACATTTGCAAAGAATCAAATGTTAAGAATAAATAAATATGGTGACACAGGCCCTCTCACCAGTCTGGCTGTAGTAAGTGAAAGCATGCAAAGCAAACCCACTCTCTTCTTTCCTCCCCCACCTCCTGCTTTCACTGGGATTTCCCAGACATGTCAGTAGTTTTCTTTGCAATTCTGGGCTCTCGAGTTTCACTTCAAATTAGTTATTTCACTTGTGGTTAGATATTCCTTCCTTTTCTAGTGTCTTACGGTTGTTGTCTTTGGTGAATTCTGTTCTTTTCGAATCAAGGGTTGGCAAGGACTGCTCATCTACTCAATCGTGTTTTTGTGCTTTGAAGCAGAATCCAGCTATTGCAAAACATGAACACACGCTTTTCTAGGGAAGAGTTGGCTGGAGCCTAGATCCTTGTACATTCCGTCACAAGTGAAGACCTGGCTAGATAGAGTACTGTTCACCTCTTGGCTCTGCCCTTAGCGACCTTAACTTCAGAGATGCCACAAATGCCCAATGCATCCAGCTTCTTCTCTCGCTTGCTTCTACCCATATTTTTTAAAAAGCAATAGCATCTTTATTGGAATCTCATTTACATACCGTGATGCTCACCCATTTAAAGTGTACAGTTCGGGGGCAGCCCGGGTGGCTCAGTGGTTTAGCGCCTGCCTTTGACCCAGGGCGTGATCCAGGAGGACCCAGGATCGAGTCCCATGTCGGGCTCCCTTCATGGAGCCTGCTTGTCCCTCTGCCTATGTCTCTGCCTCTCTTTCTCTCTCTGTGTCTCTCATGAATAAATTAATACAATCTTAAAAAAAAATAAAGTGTACAGTTCAATGACTTTTAGTGTGTTTATAGAATTGTGCAACCATTGGGACTCCTGGGTGGCTCAGCAGCTGAGCATCTGCCTTCAGCTTAGGGCGTGATCCCAGTCAGGGGATTGAGTCCCTCATTGAGCTCCCTGTGAGGAGTCTGCTTCTCCCTCTGTCTATGTCTCTGCCTCTCTCACTGTGTGTCTCACGAATAAATAAATAAAATCTTTAAAAAAAATTGTGCAACCATCACCATAATCTAATTTTAGAACATTTTCCTTACTCCCAAAAAAGGAACTCCATACCCTTGAGCAGTCACTCCCTACATTAGTTTCCTCTTGCTGCTGTAAGAAGTTACCACAAACTCCATGGCTGAAAACAATAGAAATGTATCACCGTGTAGTTCTAGAGGTCAGAAGTCCAACGTGGGTCTCACTGGGCTAACATCAGAGTATCAGTGGGGCTGTGTTCCTTTGTGGAACCGCTAGAGGAGAATCTGTTTTACCCTTTCCAGCATCTTCTCCAGGCCACTGCTGCGCTCTTGAGCCCCTTCATCTTCAAAGCCAAGAGTAGCCAGCTATGTCTTTCTCACAGTCAACCTCTATGATTCTGATGGTCTCCCTCTTCACCATATAAGGACCCTTGTGATTACATTGCACCCACCTGAATAGTCCAGGGTAATCTCATTTTAAGGGCTACTGATTAGTGACCTTCATTCCCCCTTGCCATGTAGCATATTCACAGGGTCTGTGGATTGGGACACATGAACATCTTTGGCAGCCATTTTTCTGTCAGCCACATTCCCCCGACTTCAGCCCCCAGCAACCATCAGTCTATTCTTTGCCTCAACACATCTACTCATATTTTTTATTCTCCTTTGTATTCCATTTCTTCCTTAAGTCTCCTGCCCAGTCTTTGCTCCACCTCCTTTCCCTTATCTGTCTCTTGGTGGCCACCATCTTTCCTCTCATTTCTCAGGAGATGATGGGTTGCTGGAGACAGAAAACAGGGAGGACTGTTGGGAGGATGAGGAGATCAAGTTTTACAGGACCAAACACTGGGGTAGAAAAGAGGTCCTCAGTATTAGCAAGGGAAGAACTATAAGTTACAGAGAAACCTGGTTAGCTGGATGGTGTAGTAAGAACAGCCCTTTCTGTCAGTTACACCATTTGGTTTGGGGACAATCTACTTTGTCTTCTCAGGTACCTCAAACTGTAAAAGACAGGGCTTGGACCCAATTAGTGATTCTCAAAGCACAGAAGCACAGTTCCTGGGCCAGTAGCATCAGCATCTCCTAGGATTTTTTATTAGAAATGCATATCCTTAAGTCCCCTCACCACGCTCCCCCCGCCCTCCCCACCAAGATCTACTTTAGAAACTCCAGGCATGGCCCTCCCCTAGTGTATGTTTTAATAAGCCCATCTGATTATTCTGATGTATGCTAAAGTTTGAGAACCACTGGACCAGATTATGTCTATATTCTCTAGTATAATAGTCTCTAAGCAATTCCTCGGTATGTAAAAGGAAATACAGTTTTTAGCAGGGAGAAGACAAGAACATGCTAAAAGGGAGTAAGGTAATTTGAAAGTTTGAGGGTTTTAAATGCATATTGGAAGGATTTCTCTTGCATTAAAATCTGTTATTATTCAATATTTTGATACACTTGAAGTCATGACCTCTGGATCCTAAACCCTATAGTCTCTGTGGGAGTATCTACTGCATGTCATGAAATGAAAGTCTGTATTTCTATTAAAAATTGCTGTCTCACACCCACAGGTCTATAACACTGGGCCAAGCACCCTTCCTGGGTCGTCTGTGAGCATCACTTTTCCTAATCGATTATCATCTGGAGGTGCAGAGATGTTTCATGTTCAGGAGATGGTGGTGAGTTCTCATTTGTTGTCACTGTTGCTTTCAGACTTGAGCCAACCCATTCACCTTTTGTATACTACTCCGAGGGCCCAAAAAGTTTAACTTATTCTAACCTTTGGAGACATACCTAGAGAAGCCAAGAGGTCCCCAACACCTGAATTTCTGCTTTGAGACGGTTTGGTTAATGTCATGAGAAAACCTATTTGGGTATGGGGCAGGTTTGGTTATGAACATGACTTCTGGGATAGACTTTTCTGGCACTGGAAACTCTTGGAAAATTTAGGTGTATCTGATTGCATTTTTCTGAGGGGAAGATCCACAGTATATATGAAGAGTTTCAAAGGGTCACTGAGGCCTGGAACATGAAGGATTAATTCATAAGATAGAAGAGTACATTGAAATTCAAGTTTATATATGGAATATGCAATTCTTGGTCCTAAGTCAACTGTAGATTTTGTCTCAAGAGGAAGCTTGACAACAAGTATGTGATCATTCCTGCCTACCTCCTTGAAACATTCTTGGCTTCTAGGACATCACATTCCCTTGGTTCCTTCTTTCTCACTAGCTTTTCTCCTCATCTCACCAACATCTGTAGGGCTCAGCGTCCCCCTTTTATCTGTACTCAATCTCAGAGACTTCACCCAGACTCGTGGCTTTATATTCAGTATGTACTGATGACACAGATGTTTCTCTCCAGCCCAAACCTCTCCCATGAAATCCAGACTTTGAAAGTCAACTACCTTTAGGACATCTCTACCTAGGTGCCTGAAAATCTCCATCTTATCCTAAACTGAACTCTCTGTAGTACCCTTCCAAACCTGCTTCTCCCACCTCCTTCCCCGTCTTAGCAAATGCCTACTCAGTCTTTTCAATTACTCAGGTCAAAGACCTTGGATCATCTTTGATGCCTGCCTCTCTTGCCACATCTCATAGATCTGATCCACCAGCAGCCCTAATGTCTCCACCTTCACAACAACTCAGAATGTTGCCACTTTTTCCACCTCCCCTGCCAGCACCCCACTCCCAGGCACCATCACCTACCATCAGTTATTTATTGCAGGAGCCCCTCGCTAGTGTCCCTGCTTCTATCCTGGCCCCCCTGCAATCTGTTCCCAGTCTAGCAGCAGAGCAAAGCCTTCCAAAATGCAAGTCAGATCATGTCATTCCACAGTTCAGACCCCTCCAGTGGCTTACCTACTCCCTAAATTCTCCCGGCACCCTAGCTGGCCCCACAGTTTCTCTCCTGACACTCCCTGACCACATTTCTTCCTCCTTCACCACTCTCTCTACCCCCACCACACCATCCCTTGCTGGTCCCAGAGCACAGCAGACACTCTCCCACCTCCAGAACTTGGACTCAATTTTCCCTCTATGCAGACACCCTTCCCCCAGAGAGCCACATGACCTCCTCACTCACCTCCTTCACCAGCGTGCTCAAATATCAGCTTCCCAGGGACACCCTCTCTACTCAGCCTCAGTCCCAGCACTCCTTGTGCCTCTTTCCTGCTCATATTTCACCCTCTCCCTCATCACAAGCTGACATTGCATGTATTTTCATATTTGACCAGCTTCTCTCCCTCCTCCTGGCCCCCTACAGCTTAAGGACAGGGGTTTCTCTCTGCTCACTGCTATATCTCCAGGCTCTTAATACAATGCTTGGCATGTAGCATATGCTCAGGAAATATGTGTGGGCTGAAAAAAGACTCTATAGTATAAGACAGACCTGTTTACTCTGCATGAATTCAGGAAAATTTTCAGACCGTTAAGAGGTGCCTCAGAGTGCTTCATAGTCTCAAGTGGCTGGGCTTGAGGGTGGCCCCTCCTGGGGAGGACTGGTACAGGAAGCTCTGGGGAGTCAGGACACAAGAGGAGCACCTGCAGGCACTTTGAGAGAATTATGGAATCATTGCTCTTTATATGGGCATGTGAGGGACAGCTAGTCAGACAAAGGGACAGTCTCTCCACTGATAGCTTAGAAATTGGGGCAGCAAGGCCCAGGTCATGTCACACATCTGAGCTTACAGCTGAAGAGGATACTGCCCATGGGAGGCACCATCATGTGATGGTGATAGCAGGGTGTGGCATTGCTGTCCTCTTGGGTCACATGGCCTGAAAGCCTGGACCATGTGAAATGTCGAATGTAGAGCAGCTCACCCCTCCCAGGTTGCCTGCTCAGTCACTTCCATCCCTCACCATATTTCACTTGTGCTTCGTGAAGTGCCCATGTTGATGAGCTTTGCTGAAGAAGATAAGCCCAGTGTCCTGTACCAGCTACCATGATTAGAGCTTAGCATAAGGCTACATGTGCTCTCGCCTACCCTCCTAAATATTATTAATCATACCAACCTCTCCACCTACTCCCCAGCGGCCAGGAGTGCTTTCCTCTTGAGCATGCCCTGAGAGTTGCTCACAAAAACATCTTTAGTGTTGTACAGAGAATTTTTTCTACACAGACAAAATTATTTATTAACCAAAATAGGAAATTTAACTCACTTGGATTCTGAGGGTATCTGAGAACCAGCTCTGCCCCCTTTCTCTGCACTAATCATCAGACCAAGGAAGAGCCATTGGAACAGACTCTGGAACACATTTATAAACAGCTGGTTTGCTTGGGAGGCATTAGCAGTGGTTTTCCTGAAGATTTCCAGAACGGCATGACTGCTAGTCTGAGTGGGACCCTCAAAAGCCCAAGTGATATTGGCTGGCTTCATTCCATTGTTTGAGTTTTCAGACACAAACCCTTTGGACTTTCAAGACTATATTTAGAATTTTCACAAAGTCTGTAACAGAATTCTCAAAACTGGCCAAGCCTTCAGTTGGATACACCAGCCCATGCTCAGAGGCTTACAGCATTTTCACGATATGGAAAATCCAGCTTACTGGCAAATCTCATGAAGCAAGTCGTGAAGCATTGTGTTCTTAGGAACAATCGAGACTGGATTACGGTGACCATGGAAATGTAAAGCCATGCATGGTGTGATGCAGTGATGAGGCAAGAGCCCCAGGTACTTGTCTCAGAGGCAGGTAGGCAGCACACCTTCCACCTGAAAGCCACAAGGCTGAGAGCTTGGGCATCCAGCAGCTCAGTCCCAGCCTCAGCCCCTCCCTTCCTCAGCAGAGCCTAAGAATACTCACTGAGGCAGGCGTGGCTCCTAATGATCCTGGCTCTGCACTTCGGCCTTCTGGGACTTTGGGTGGAGCAGGGCTTTCATTCAGGAGGTATGGGTGGCTTGGTGCAAGTGGGACTTACTCCTGGGAGAAACCAGCCCTCGTTGCCTGTACTGCACCAGGAGATGACCCCACGGCCTGGTGGCATTCCCTCCCCACCCCAACCTCAGCACCACCATTCCTCAGTCTTGGACAGCTACTGGGCAGCCAACCACTAGCTTACCTGTTAAGCCAACTGAAGCCCGGGTGCAGATAACAGGCGTTGACATCCCTCCCCACATCCTGTGGGTGCCTCTGATTGTTTCTCTCTCTCTCTCTCTCTCTCTCTCTCAATCCCTCTTTCTCTATATATATATCCCCCCCCATAGTGCCCTTAGTATCTGTTTTACTTGTGGTCGTCATCCGTATAGAATGCTAAGAGTGGGCATGCTGTCCTCAGGGGCCCTGGGCCTTCATCCCACCTATAGCCCTGACCTGTGACACAGTTTTCCAACTGATGGTTCAGAATTCATTCAGATGCCTCTGGGGCTGTAGCTGTGATCCCTGGGTAGGACAGAGTTGCCTCTAGGTTTTACCAAAGACTTGTTTTTCCCCAAGGGTTTCTTAAGGTCCAGTTGCCGGTGAGTGGAGAGTGCCTTTGCCCACCTGGGAGAGATTTTCCAGCAAGTCAGAGGAAGCATATCTACTTCATACTCCCAGCCGTGGTTCATGATCTTTCCTTATAGCAAATGTCCTCAGCCCCTCCACCTTGCTTGTGTTCTATATATAAAGAGAACTATAGCAGTGGTCTGAGAAAAGACTTAATTGCTATCCCCTCCCACCCCTCAGGGTTGTACGGCATCCTGTGGGGACATGCTGACTTCCCACTGCACAGCAAAAGTGTGAGCAAGCCACAGTGCCTATGGAAGTCTAGATGGAACAACCGTGAAGGAAAGAGTATGAGCAAGAGGGACTTCTCTAGTCCATCTAAGATAAAATCATTGAAAATAATAAATCATTCTGGGTTTCTTCTGCAAACACTGGCAGAAAAAGCACCTGTATGTTCCAGGCTCCAATACGAGGAATAAGTCACACAGCATTCCCAGAAAGTTGGGCTTGCAGGAGAGCGACCTAGAAAATGTCATTGCAATACCATGGCGCAAACTCGGTAGTGGAGGCATGCCCAGATCCAGGGATGGTCCAAAGGTGCAAATCCCACCCTAGGAAAGGTGCAGGAAATGCAGACTCTCAGTCAGGGCTTAGAGGATGTGTAATAGTTCACCAGGAGAACATGTGAAGGAAAGAACATTCCAGACAGAGGGAAAGGTCACTAGTTGTAAGTGTTCAGTGGAGGCAGTATCTGGTCCTCTATGCTCTGTGCCTAGCCCTTATACAGATAGACAAAGGTAACTGTTCCCTACACTTTTCCAGAATGTACTGCAGGTAGATATCTAGGCAGTGTGATAAGAAGTACTATACCACAGTCATTTCTGTGTGACAGTTAATCCTTCTGGGGTGCATCATTTCTGTGTGCTTGTGGATTGGTTCCTTCATTTCTCCTGACTGAGGAATGGGGAAGGCCAAGCCCTCTGCTACCAGAGGCCATCTGACCACACATGGATGTTGCCAACAAATGACCCTGGGCTGCTGCAGAGAACAATGGCTTCTGTAGGCCAGGCAGCCCATGCAAGGCAAGCCTTTGCTCCTTGGAGAAGGTTCCTGTTTGAAGTGAGGATGTAACCTCTCATACAGCTTGATGGGAATTGGCCTGGAAAATGTAATGGCTTCACTTTGTGGTAGTCTCTCTGAACAGATGAGCCTTTTAGCAGAGCCCTGGGCACAGGCCTCAGAGAAGCCAAGTTAGC